CCTGCGCACAAAAGTATGCTACGATTTCGTTTGTGGTTTGCGTGTGTGTGTGTATTTGACAGAAACTGTGGCTGTGTGTGTGTGTGTGTGTGTGTGTGTGTATGTGTGTGTGTGTGTGGCAAATCTAATTGGATTTGTGCACGTTCAATGAACAGAACACTAAAAGTATTTTATATTGTTATTGCACTTGAGCATTTGCCAGAAAAGGTCTCTCGCAATCATTTCAATGATTTCGCTGCTCAGCTGCTGATGATGGCTTCCTCTTCTGCTTCATCTTTGCTGTTGTGGTTGTTGTTGTTGTCGATTTTATTGCTTTTGCTACACTCCATTGACAGCAATTGCGAGCAATGCAACAGGAATAACAGCAACTGCTAGTGAAATACCTGCCAATTGAGCTTGGGCGACTGCAACATACTCTGCTCATCAGGATACTTCTTGCAGTGGTTTTAAAGCAGTTTCAATGCTTACAGAACTGTCTGTTTTTAAGGAAAACATTTCTGTATATGTTTAAAGCTTGAAAAGAGAGAACTTTTAGATACTTATAAATAAAGATACAAAAAATATAAAGTCAAACTTTTCTAGCGAACAAGCGCGGCTTTTGAAATTGAGTTTTTAAATGAGTTAGATTTCGGTTCCGGTTTAATTTCCGGTATGTGATGTGTGCAGCTTCCGGTAAAGTTTATGTGTGACTACCAAATTGTGTTTCGGTATTCGTTTCTATTGAATTTAAGCTAGCGCCACAAAATTGAGACTTATAAACTATTCCGTTAAATATAATGGAGTTAATAATTAAAGCAAACATATAAATATGAATTAATAATTGTTAACAATACGAAAAATTTTAATTAATTAATTTGCTGATATGTATTGCCTGTGAAAATGCTACTCTCACATATACAGTTAATCGAATTACTTAAACCCGATATACCCCGCTCAATAATGCTGCAAAACAGAGCATGCAAAACGACAGCTAAGAAATATTGTTGCATTAAGCATTTGTTATGGGCGGGCAAACAGGAAAGGAAAAAAGCAAACTTGGAGGCGATGCGCCTGCAATTAGGTGCAAAAACACGTAGCGAAACCTTGTTGATTTGCCCCTCAACATGCGGCGGCCCCCGCAAGTGGGGGATATGATAGAAAATACAACAAGAGCTGAGTCTGTTGGCCTGGCCAAGAGGCAAATACCTTTAATGAGACGGAAAGCGGGCGCCAATCGCTGCAATTAAAATTAATTACAGTATTTGTCAGCTAACTGGCCACCAAATGCGTTCATTCAGCTCATTCACAAGCAGCTGCAACGGGAGGGGGTGTTGCAAGATGCGTTGCATTGATTGCAATCGCGATCGTTAATTAAATGTCGAAAGGAATGTTGTTGTTGTTGTTGTTGTTGCCACAGCTGCTGCTGCGTAAAGATCAGCCAGCTGGGATAAGGCCAAGTTTATAAGTTTGTTGCAGTTGTTGCAAGTTGCAGTTGCTGTTGTTGCCCCAACTGCTATGGCTATTTATAGCCACGGCTGGCTTCGCGGCACGCAACGCAACACGATTTTTTTGTTTTCGTTTTTTTTTTTGAGCGCGCTCTTTATTATCGCCCTTGATCTTGGCTAAATCGAAATCGCCTGCATTGCGTGAAGTGTTGCAAATGAGTTTTTTCCGTTCGCTCGTGGGGCGTGCATTGCATTTTGCAATTGGCCAGCAAATTGGAAGCAGCCAAATCGGCCAAGTCGAAGCAGAAGTCGAGGCAGCTGTTGCCCCAAGCGGGGCTTATACTTGCCACATATTTTTGTTATCTATTAGCGAGCATGTTTTTCGGGGGCAAAAGTGCATAAAATTAGTGGAGAATTTCTTTTAGCGATACGTTCTTATCGATCTGCACATATTTAAGTATTTATCAACCATCGATAAGTTATCGTTATCGAATACAAATCGGATCGAATTCGAGTTCATCAATATCTAATCGATGTAGTTATCAACAATGTCTGCGGTCTTGAATACTTAAGTTTTAAATTTAAATAATTGAATATCATGAATAAATTTCATTCATTTCATTCAAGCCACAAAACCAATTCAAATTCTTGAACTCATTCAACTTTTATGAAGCGCTTCTTCGAAATTAAAACTCGCCTAATTGAGAAGCCCGAGTTGAGTTGACCCAAATGAAGTTGAAGTGGAAGATGCAGTAGCCCAACCAAAAAGAGTTAATATATTCCCCCTCCCCGCCACCCCCTCTGAGATTTGTACGAAAAACTAATGAAGACGCTGGTGAAACTCTTGTCAAACCAGGTTTCACTTGCCAACTTGGCCAAGTTGGCCAAATTGAGCTGAGGAACATCTTCATTTCCACGTTGGAGTCGCGAATTTAGTAAAGTCTCCAAAACAATGGAAAGAACAAATATCTTCAAGGCACCGTCGGGGGAAGGGGGAGGAGTCCAGAGAGAGAGGGGTACTTTTTGCAAAATAAATGGGAAGAACTTGTGCATAAGAAAGAAACTCTGAAGTTTATCAATAGAAGGCAGCAAACAGCGCAAAGTTGTGAGTTAGTTTTCAGCCAAGTTGCCATAGAAATGAAAAACCAGAATGCAAAACCAGAATACGGCAAATCGAATTCTAAATACCCTTGCAGAATTATTATAATCATTAATTAATCTCTAGTCGAGAGAGCTCGAACTGGAGATGAACCTGAACCAAAACGTTTAATAGAAAAATAGAGAATAGAAGAAATACTAAATTTGCGTTACTTTTCCTTTCCAAGTTGATTAATAATATGTCTGAATATATCAATGGAAGTCTTTGAAATTGTGTCTATTATTGCTATCGGAAATGATGCTGATCCAGAATATATATGCATCAATTTTCAATGGATTCAGGGCATAGAAAGTTGGTCGTATCAAGAACTTATCTTTCGAGCCATTGTTTCTGTTGAAGCTATATGATATATAGTTCTTCGATCCATATGTATCATATATACAACTATACCATATTCCTCTAGAACAACCTCTCTCTGTGAGTGTATCTTTTGCGGACTGTGCTCCTCGGAGACTCAACTCAATATTGCTTCCAATGAAAATGCAAACAAATAGATGAAAAGTGCAACTATTGGATTTGGAGGAGGGGAAAGGGGTCGTTGGGCGGGGGTTGGGTGAAAAGCGTCGGAAATTGAAGCAATTCGGGTGCAGGTTTTGATGGCCTCGAAAATTGTCAATTTGTTGCCTGTTGAGGCAATTGGCCAACTGGCCAACGGCGCATATGGCCAACTGGTCAAGTGTTAAAATCGAAATCGATTTGAAAACATTATTTGAAAAGTAATGGAGAGACAGAGAGAGAGAGAGAGAGAGAGAGGGAGAGAAATATAGAAGAATGATATATCATATGATATATGATATATCCCAGATAAATAACTAAAAAGATTAGAGGGAGAAAGAGATGAGAGAGATTTAGATACGAGAGAGAGGAAGAGAGAGAGAGAGGGCGAGATGAGAGAGAGAGAAATACAAAGGAGGAGAGAAAGAGAGTACGTTATAAATATATAAATATAAAGATGTAAAATTAAATAGATTTTCCTGTATGTAAAGAGAGAAACAGAAGACAGACAAATCTCGAGAGAGAGAGAGAGAGTACGAAAGAATGAGATGAGAAAAGACAAAGACTGGAGAAAAAAGGCTAAAGAGTTGAGAGAGAGTGAGATATAAAGCGGGAGAGAAAAGAGTGCTGCAAATAAATATAAGTATTTAAAGACAGATGGGAGAGATGGTAGATGGTATTCGACAGAAAGGGAGGCAGATAGAAAAAGAAAGGAAGAGGGGTGAAAACTGGAGAGAGAAAGAAACAGAGAGAAAAGAACAAAAATACGAAAAATATGGAAAGGAACGAGATGAGAGGCAGACTGGGAGAGGGTGGGATAAAGAGAGAGGTAGACATAAATAGAGATGGCAGATAGAGAGAGATGAGCTTAATTTTAACTTGCATTTACCTCCAAATTGCATTTAGTTTAAAAACCGATTTGTTCGAAGCTTGTCATTTGTTTTTAAGTGCCGTTTTGCGATTTTTAACTACCGTTTTGCAAATGGCACTTTTGCTAAAAAAAGAAAATAAACAAATTTTTTAAAGCCCCCGCACACCTAATCACAACAATAATTTAACAGTTGGGAAAAACGAGCTTTTATTGTTACCTGAAATTCGATTTTTTGTTCGTTTTATTTCGCTTAAGCAATTGTTTTGCATTAATAAACAGTTGTATTTTTGTTTTGCTTTATAAAAAAATAAACAGAAACAAAAAAACAGATGTTTTTTTTTATATAAAATGCCCCTTTTCTAATAGTAAATATTTGCGCGCTATTTTTGTCGTCTTTTACAACACAACACAACAACTACAGCAACAACAATGAGGAATGCAAATCAGCCACGTGCAAAACTGCAACGTCAAGTGCTGCTCAGTTGCAACATGTTCGCAGCCGGCAACGAGCAAGTGCTGTATGACGTTCCATGTTGCGCCAGTGCTGAGCAGTAGCTGGCGAGCCCGGTTCGAGTTCGACTTGACAACAAGTGTTACACGTGTGGGGAGGGAGAGAGAGAGAGGCAGTCAAAGAGAAGATTTAGAGAGCGAAAGAGAGAGAGAGAGAGAGACACACAGAGAAGATAACAGCAAAAGTTATCAATTTCATTGGTTTTACTTTTATTTGATATATATATATATATATATATATATATGCAATTTTCTGCAAATTAATGCAATATATTAATTTACTGCAATATTATGAACCGATAGAATTTTTTTTTTTTTCACCGATACGAATTAATATATTTAGCCAATGCGGATTGGATTCGTCATGGGACATTTTAGCTGTAATACGGCGGAGTTTTTATCGCCGAATCGTATTTATCACATCGAACACCCACACATCGAACGTGTCGATGCAGCATGTTTGTGCTTGGCGTTGCCAACCATTGGTTTTAGCCGGCTAACTACTGCTGGCGCTACAAACCGCTTCATTACGTTTCATTTCAGTCTATTGTTGGCCGTTGAAACCGTTGGAAGTGTGGTGTGCTACACGCACTTTGCATTTCTTCGCCAAACTTCTTCGCTTTGCACGACATAACGGACAAAACTCTCACACGCACACAGGTGCAACTCTGTCTCTGCGTGTGTGTTTTTTTCGTGACGGGCGCGCGTTGCTGTGTGCGTGTGCAGTGTGTTTGTGTTAGTGCGAGCGCGTGAAAATACAACAACAACAACAACGAGAAGAAGAAGGAGAAGCACTAATCACAGTCAGCTGTGAAATTTGTGTGTTTTTGTGCATTTGTGTATGTGTGTTTGAAAATTAAATGCAAATTGTATATAAGAAATATAATCTAAGCATAAATTACCAATGAATAACGTATATATTAATATACAACATCAACGAGTTGAGCACATTTTCTGATAGATGTCAAATTAAAATTAAAAAAAAACGGTAGCGCGTTGTCAGTGTTGATTAATGTTAATGGATTTGAATTAGTTTTGTATTTATTTTTTTGTGTATAGTGCAAATCGCGACGCGATTACCGCAAGTTCCTTTCTGACAGCAAAATCAAAGCAGCGACGGCAGCAGCGACGGCAGCAGTGACGGCAGCAGCAACGCCAGTAGCGACAGCAGCAGCGGCATCGACGATAGCAGCAGCGGTGGAGTAAGGGAGAGGTAAGTCCAACTGCCACGCGACCAAAAGGAGCCAAGCAACAGACACACAGACAAACAGACATGTCTGATGCGCAACGAAACGGTTGACATAGAACCCAACAACAACAACAACACAGGCGGCACCTGCAGCTGTCATTTTTGTTGTTGTTGTCTGCTTCGCTTTGCTGTTTGCTCCGTTAACTCGCGCTGACATTTACAACACTGCAACACCCTCCCCACCCCCTCCACTGTCTGTCTATCTTCTTCTTCATTGCTTTGTTTTTTTTGGCGTTCATTGACATTTTGTTTTTGCTTTGCTTTTGGTTTTTGCTTGCAAATTTTACTGGGCGCTTCCTTGACTTTGTCTTGCCTTTGTTTTTGTTGGGTTTCTCTTTTGAACCGGCAACGCCGAACAAAAAATCAATAAATTCGCTTTGATTTTTTTTGTCTTGTTTTGTTTGGGTTTTTGCTTAGCAGCTGGTTGCGTTTGTTTTTTCCTTTTGTTTTGCTTTTGTTTTTACCATGGCAGCAGCAGCTACCCTTTTTAAATGCAACCCTGTCTACACCCCATCTTTTTCTTTCTCTTCCCCCGCTCTCTGCCTCTCTCTCTCTGCCTGTGCTTTGTTTTTGCCTGTTTGGTTTTGCGTGCTTTCGACAATTTTTGCCATTTTTTTTATTAATTAACACGAAGCGAATTTATAATAGAAATACTGTTAAGTGACCCACTTTTATAAGAGAGGTGCACCCTGCTGGTGCAGAGGGGGGAAATTAAGCTAGTTGCTGCTATAAAAATATTTATGTGATATTTCCGTTAGTAATCAAATAGAGTATGTTTTTATAATACGCTAATTAGGCTAGCTTTTTTTTATGAATCTGCATAGTTAAATTTGGCTTAAACTGGATTATGATCGGAGCAGGTTATGAATAGGGTTAAAATGGAGAGTTCATTGAATGTTTCTCAAAATTACATATATTTTTTTATAAAATGATAAAATTGATTCTATGTGGACATATTTTTATTGATAAAATATGTCATTTGACAAATTTAACTCTGTTTTGATTTGTGTGTATGTTTTTTTAAACAAATATTGATTTAAGAAGTGAGAGTAAAGTGTCTGTGTTGATATAGAAAGATAGAAAAAAAAATTGATATAGAAATGAGTAAAGCTCCAAGTTTTTGTTTATTTTCACAAATTGCGATTTTGTCAGTCTTGAAATTCGTTTGACTTTCGTTCTTCGCTTTTTGTGACGATTTGTTTGGTATTAATTAAAGCATGCTTTAAGTAAATACACTTGACTTGAGTACTCTGTGCAATTTTTAGTTCACTTTTCTTTTTGAGTTTTACCTTTTTACTATATTTCCTGTTCTCAGCCAAACTTTTTTTTGTTTGTATTTTAAGCCCCATTGAGTTTACTCTGCATACACATTTATTTTCGCGTTCTTTGTTAACCAAATTATTTTGAGTACCTCATAACTGGAATATTCTTTCAATTTCATTCTTTATGTATTGCTTTATTTCTCTTTTTACTCACGCTCAGTGCCTTTGGGGACTTTTGGCGCCCCTTCGAAATTTTGCATACCTTTTGTCTGATTTTCACTTGCTGCTGCTGCTGTTGCTGAAACCTGTCTAAACCTGGCCAATTCGTGTGCCAACAAGTAAAAGTGGCTTCGCCCATGACTTGATTTATGTCTCTATTTTTTCAACAGCAGCAGCAGCAGCAGCAGTTGTAGCTACTCTTTTATTAATTTTTAAATCTATTTCAAAATTAAGGGTATGATGAATAAGAATGAAGTAATGGCCCGGAAATGAAATGGTATTTAGTATTTGATATGAATAAGCATATTCGATATAGCCATGTCCATCTGTCTTTCTGTATAATCAAGCCCATCTCGGCGACTATAAAGAGATTGACTAGAGATTGACAAATTCAGAATATAAATAAATAATTAAATTAGAATATCAAAAATGAATATTGATTTTTTTTATTATTATATAAACAGATTATAAATAAACAAATGATCTTTTGTGCAGTAACATATTATTTCTCTACTGTAAAAAATGCAATATGATCGATTAACGTAGATTTTATCAACCCAAGCGTGTTTTCCTATGGAACAAAAGGTTGTTTTCAGCAAATCTTCCAACTTCTTTATATATACGTATATTTTTTACTGGGTACCTAGCTAGTCGAGCACTCTCGACTCGCTTTGTGCTGCAGTTAAAACTGCTCTTTCGTTAATAATTTTATCATATTTTATTTATTAATATTAACGTTCAACATTCGCTTAATTTTCGTACACATGAAAAACGGGTTCCATGCTTCTTGTCTAGGCTTCGAGTTCCGACGGGGTTTCCAATCTTTGGAGAAGGGGCGTGGGAGGGGATTAAGGGGCTTTCCGACGGGGTTTTGCTGCTCGCCTTTGGGTTTCGAGCTGATCATTAAGAAGGAGGCGGCAGCAATGCTAATTAAATTTAATTATAAATGTCGGCCAAAAGGCATAGAAGAAGTATAGGTGGATAAGGAGAGGGGAGGAGGGAGTGCTCTGCAGGGGGGTTGGTTGATCGGTCTATGTTAACGAGTAAAAGTTAAAGCTGTTGCCATTTATATTAATTTACATAGATTATTCACAGCGCTGTTATGAATCCATCTGCCCCTTCTCCTCCTGTGTGTGTGTGTGCGAGTGTGCGTGAAATGTAACTGCATTTTGCGTTAATCTCTCTGCATTCATTTAATACTTTGGCACGTTCCGAACAGCTGTTTAAAAGACAATCAGCAACAAACCAAAAATAAAAAACAGAACAAAATAATTTCAATTACAGCGATTCGAGTATTTTAACCATTTCTTGCATTTTCGCTTCTTCTTCACGTTTCGTAACACGATCAAGCGCAATTTTATTTAATTATGTTGACTTCTTCTTTGCTGCTCCTATAATCTAATGTTGTCCCCAAAAATTCTGAGCACGTCTCTGTTTCTCTCTCTCCCCTACTGTCTCTCTCTCTCTCTCTCTGTAACTGGCTTAGAGAAGCTCACTCGAGAATTTTAGCCCAACACACAAACTGCAACTGACACTAGTTTGATTTAAGAGTTGAGGTTGTATGTGCTGCAGAATGTGGCTTCAGTTACTGGGCACGTCTCAGTGTCCAGTTCCGATTGTAAGTTGTTTATGCAAAGCTTAACCCCCCTCAATCTCAACCTGATGTCCACTTTGTATTCTATTGTGCAAGAACCTTGCGTAACTTTAGAAGAGACAATTTCTTGGTGAGCAGGAGAAAGGTTTATTTTTTTGTGATTGTGTGGTGCAGTTTGTAATTGCTTAAGGGAGAGAAGAGAAAGTATATATTTATATTCCTGAACAGCAGCAATAGTAAAGTCGTTTAGCCAGCTAAGTCTGTTATCAAATTAAGATGCTGACCACTTTGAAAAATGTTTTCTTAACTTTGGCATGTCTATAAAAGTCTTTCTTTCTATCTGGATTTTTTTTCTTAGTTGTCTACTCAGCTTAACACTGCTCTACAAACGGGTGTGAACTAAATAGCTAAATAGTTGTTAAACAAACATTTCTGTTAAACTCTATTTTTCCATATCCGTTCAATAGTCGGTCTTGAGAGTGTCTTTTAACGAACCTAATAGATTTGTATTTAATTTTAACTAATGATACTTTCTATAATATATTTTATAAAACGTTACAATTGAATTTAAGGTTCAACTTGAATTAAAAAGACTTGTTTCGAAGCCAATTAGTCAACTTTCCCGCCCAACACTTAAAATATGTCGAGAGAGAAGAAATGAAGAAGCTCATCGTGTGCCTAATTGTGGTTTATATTATTTTCCGGTTTTTTTCTCCTATTTCTTTGAGTTGCCATCTTATCATTTCTACGACAGCAAATGATGGCAATTAATACTTAAATGGCCAACTCTTTTGGCCATAAATTGCCGCTCAGTGTCTTTTGTTTTTTGTGTGTGTGCGTTTTAATTATAAGTTGAGCACCAAATTAAATTGAGTCCAACTTAGATGCGGACGATGAGAAAATGTGTGAGAGAAGTGAGAAGGGCAGCGAGAAGAGCAGGGAAGAGCAGGGAAGAGCTGCCAGATGAGCAAGGAAGAGAAACGAGGGATGAGAAGGGCAGCGAGTAGAGCAGGGAAGAGAAGCTAAAAGTGCATATAAGATAACTGTGAAGATAAGAGAAGAGAAGAGAAGAAAGTGAGAAGAGCAGATATGAAAAAGCGAGAAGAGTAGAGAAGGCACGCGAGTAGAGCTGGTAAGAGAAGCGAGAAGAGCAGAGAAGTGAATAATGTTTGAGTTAGTAAACAAAGACGAAAGACAAAACACTGACCAAATGAAGCAAGTGGAAATCCCGAAAGCGGCTGCAGCTAATTGCCCAGATAAGGGGAAGCGGAAGAGGAAGGGGGCGTGTGTGTATATGTGTGTGTGTGACTGTGTGTGTGTGTGTGTGTGTGTGTGTGTGTGTGTGTGTGTGTATGTGTGTGTAGGTAGCAGAAGGATCTACAAATGCAATGACAAGACAAATGTTGCTACAACCTGCCACAAGCTACAAGTGAGCAACAAACAAACAAACAAACAGCATTACAACAAGAATTGGCAACATGCTGCGCTTACTTGTTGTTAATGTCAATTGTTGTTGGTGTTGTTGTTGGTTGTTGTTGCAAGAATTCGTTGGTTAACCAATTCGAAAGCAATTTCTGGTGCCCTCTTGTTGCAGCGGGTGGGCAGCCAAGAATAGCAAGAAGCGGCAGCAGAAGAAGAGGAAGATGTGAATGCTGCTGGTGGAGAGACACACAGATAGACAGATAGACAGACAGACAGACAGACAGACAAGAGGCATTTGCATTTGCATAACTAGCTGCCTGCGGGCACAAAATAGGCCTCCATTAAATGTTTGTATATATGTATAAATTTATATATATAATTTGGTAGATTGTACACTCGAAGAAAAGTGCAGTTTATGCTTAAATTAGTTTTAACTGGAAATTTTAGAGTTAAAGTAGGTTAAATGG